ATACAGTTGACACCCATCACAGCAAGAAATGTCTAAAAAAGTTTGATTGAAACTCACTAAATTTTGTCTGCCATTGCTTAAACAACAACTACTGAGACAACATTAATTTTCAGTATCTTTACCCATTATGACGTCATTTATTCTTTAATCAAAACTCTGTCGCAGTAAATGATGGAATTCAGTGGCGATCTTGCTCATAAAATGTTACCATTCTTCACCTTAAAAAACAGTAATTGTTCTGTTCTTCTGATGAGGGGTCCATGGATGATTGTTGTAGTGGACTCGTTTTTGTGCAGCTTTTCATCTTCAGAATGCTGAAAAACTTTTATTATAAGGTACTACTTTTGTTATTCTCAGGGAACCAATTTTTTTTTGTCTACACTGTTACTGTTAAACCCAGAAACTGTGAACTCCAGAAACGCATATACCTATGTAGTGTCTGTAACAAAGTTTTCCAAAAACAAACGAACAATCTAGAACAACATTGATTTACGACATTGCTATTTTATGCTGTACTGGAACCTTCTCGGTATACCAGAAGATTCTATCAGGTTATTTTAAGTGTATGACGTCTTCAACTTCTAGAATGTTCTTGTTACTAGAAATAGTATCTTTAAAAATAAGTATTATGTAATCAGTTGTTATAAATAAGGTTTTTGGAAGTTCAAGACAGAAGAAAAAGTTAGGTCGCAGACCGATAAAGTGAAGGAAAGAGAACCTTCTTCTAGCTTCGTGACAGTGTCCCTGCATTTAAAGGAAAAAGTCAATAGGCAGAGAGAACTAAACAGCAGCAACAGGGAGTCTGCTCACTCCTGAATTTTGTGTTGAACGGCACACAACTGTTCTGTGAGAATCAGATCAAAGTGTTTGTGGTTTTCTTAGTTTCACAGTAACAAGTAATTAAGCAGTGTACACATGTAGTTTGCATGGTTGCATGCATGTCCACATTTGCTGCAAATCTGAAGTTCTCCACTTGCTATACCCGTAGGTTGGCCAAGTGGTCTGCCATCTACGAATTATTTGTATGTGAATGCATGAGGAAATAAATTTGAACCAAGGTTAAATGAATTTATTATAAGGTAATCATGTTTCTAAGCATTTGGTGAAGCAGGACAATTCAAATATTACTATTGCATGATTGATTTGTTTATTTATTTTAACACTTGTTTATCTATTGCATTTTGGGGTTACCAGTAATGGATGGATATGGTAAGAAAAACTATAAAAGGAATATTGTCCAGATCTCCATTATAAACAAATCACAGTTTTCTTTTGCTTTTGATCATAATGCCTTTGTACGGCTTGCTCTTCCAACCCCTCATCAAGCATCAAATGTAAAGCACCTGGCATGACATTTTTCAGCTCATTGGCCACTTTTTTAGTATCTTCCTTTGACGTGGTCTTCAATTACATAGCTTGCATCAAGGTGATGGATTGAGAAAAAAATAAAGAGTCTTATCACACATGTTGCACATTAGTTTTCACATGGAAACCTTTATGTACGTTTGTATGTTTGAGCATGATCTATGCACTAAGCAAAACTTCATCATAATTCAATGCTACCCTGGCATTTCATGGCATTCCCTTTACATCCTTTTACTTTGGGCAGGTTATTAGAAGACGTAGCTGGCCTTGATGTACCCCCTTTGTTTCCCTTAGAGGTTATAGTCGAAATGAACTGGGCTGCCAGCAGCAGGATTGATATTTAGTAGACAACATTGAACAAACCCATATTTAGCGCAACAATTGAGAATAAGTATTGACTGCCAAATTGTTTTTAGGACCTAGAATTATAAAACAGGATAATTGTTTCATTAAAAACGTTAAATTAAATTAAATTTTATTCAATTTTTAGCTCCCTTTTAATTTTAATCTGACACGTACGCTTGCCATATTTGTAGATTATGGTATAATTATTGGCTGATATACTATAATGGCTAAGCCAATAAAAAGTCTTGAATTGCATTATCCAATGATCTAGTTTTTAATAATATGGTATACAGTAACTATAGGTAAATAAATGTACATGTTCCAACTTTTCCTTTTTGAAATTATCAGTGTGCATGGCCATGCTATGTAAATCATGCAGGAGCTAATTGACCTGCCCCCAAAAATATAATTACTACTAATAATTTTTCAGTTAGTAAAGGTATTCTGTTTTAACAGAATGGTACGTGGTGCTTTGCTGTTTTTATACAGTGAAATGACCTACCTGTACTGTGCTTTATTCGCTCCAGGGCGAATTGATTAAACATAGAATGGCAGCCCCCTAGAAAGCTTGTCTGCTCAACAGCAGAGGCCTTCTGCATGGCTTTTGTCAGGCCTGGTTAAGTTAGATGTAGATTATTTTTCATACTCCTAGAGCAATATAGAGCTATTGATATTCGTGGATCGAAGCTAATTGCTTTTTTAATTCAACTATTAAAGTTAATAAAGCTACCATATTGATACGGAGCCGGCTCGATCGCAGAAATCAGGAGATGGTGGGATACTCTAAATACTCATGGTCCAAGAAGTGCTGGATCATGGCAAAACCAGATACAGATTAAAGCGTGTGAGTTGCATTTGAGGACACGGCTGTCAATGTTACGGTGGAAGGACAGAAACATCTTGGAGCAGTGATCGGCTCAAGGGAATGATTAGAGGAATATGTTAGTGAAAAAGTGACTAACTGGGCCAACGAAGTAGCGAATCTGGCAGAATTTGCGGCCACAAGCCCGCCATGCAGCGTATACCTTCGGCTTGACACATCAGTGGACTTATTTTTTGCGGACTCTGCCAGATAGCCATGATTTGGTGAAACCCTTAACATGCGCTACGACTGGCCGATTAATGATCCCCCCTCCACCTAAGTATGCGGGGATGCAAGGATATGTAGACGGGGAAGGTTTATTACTAACCGACACAACGAGCTGATAGACCTAGACGCCGAACTTTTGAGTTCTGTACGTAGCGCATGATGACATGATGTCGAGATCGAGACTATCCTCCAGGACATTCCAGGAGAACAGCTGAGTAGAGGATCCAATAGAGCGCCTGATGCGAGGTTAGACATTCATACCCGTGGGCTCTGGGAGCGCCAATGTGCTGCATTCGTTGACGTGAGGGTTTGTCACCCTAATGCCGACTTGTACCGGAACATGGAACCCTAGCAGGTCAATCGAATACACGTGAACGAGAAAACACGGTTTTGCAAAAAGTATCTGCAAACAAGCAAAAACACGCTCGACATTAGATTGCGTTGAAATCTGTAAAAAGCACAAAACTAGGTGAAACGCAATGTTTTTTGCGAAATTTGAGCGCCAGTATTCTAGAAGAGTACTTGATGTGGAACAGGGAATGTTCACCCCGCTGGTTTTTACGACAACGGGTAGGATGGGGAAAGAATGCCTTAGGTTTCATTGTAGATTGGCAGAGCTTATTGCCTCAGAGAAAGGAAGAGCAATATTCCACTGTCATCTCCTGGGTTAGAGCCCAAGTTTCGTTTTCGCTTTTGCGATCTGCTCTTATCTGTTTAAGAGGCTCCAGGAATATAAGGAGAGTTCAGCGTGACATGGAGAACAATGAGATTGGTATTGACGTTTTTGAAGGAGCCATCTCCCAGGTCTTTTTATCGCCAATTTTTGCATTTTTTGATATCAGCCTTTAATTCCTTGTTGCTATATTTTAGCGTAGATAAATCTAACCTACTTCAATCAAAGTCAGCAGATTTTTAAATATAATTTTTTACATTTATATTTAAAATTTTATTGTTATCTAGATATGTAAAGAATATAGAATTATAGATTCCCTTGTAAATATATTTTAGCACTTGAAATAAAATTTTTTAAAAGGTAAGACTTTATTCCAGCAAAATAAATTGTTTGTGTTTAAATCTTACATGGTGGATTATGAGTCTTAGAGAATGAATGAATAGATAACAATGAAAATCAAAATAAACTTAACTCACGAAAAGTTCAATCGTTGCATTTTCTCGAGGTCCAGAAAACGTGAGGTGAGAACGAAACAATTGCGATCTTAACAGCACTCACCCTTTGGCGACTTCTTGGAGACAGGGGTAGATGAAAAGTGTTTTTCCATATTCTAGGAATGGCACCCGAGGCAATGCTTTTTCGTGCTCAATCTACGTGGAATGAAATAAAGATACTCTTTGGGTAGAGATTTGAGTGATGTGGGAAGATGGTACATTTCAAAGCTTTCTTCAAGTTCTAACAGCGTTTTAGACTTTTGTTTGCATTAGTATTCTTTCCTGAAATGTCTTGAGCTAAGAGCAGTTATTCTAGATACAAAAAGAATTGTTCTTACGTTGCTGGTGTTTTATGAGACTACACCGTCGTATTCAGATTTCTTCACTGGATCGCCTTAGGAACCGAAAGAAGTGATGATTTGTCGGAAGCTCGTTCGCCATCATTGCAACCAAAATCGGTTCAATATTTTTCTTCGATGCATGTATGGACACTTGTAATGTTGCAGGAACTGTCAATAGACTGGCCAGTTTAAGTTTTACGCCACACCTGACACTGCTTGTAAAATAATTGCGGTGAAACGAAGTAGGAACAAGTAAGGGAAGTTAAAGTTTTCATACAGAAAAAACTTTTCATGCTTCAAACACGTACCGAATCAGCATTGATTAGAGACGAGGAACGAAAGAAGTAGTCTTATCCTTTTTCTGTTTTCTTTTCCCTTTAAGTATTTTAAACATTCGCAGTTATCTATTATATTTCTATATTGCTCCTCTCTTCGATTTTGGTCCACAACGTATACTCAATTAGGATAAGAATATCCTTCTGTTGTAGCGTATACGTGTCAAGTTGTCACATAAACATTCATAGTTTCACATACTTCTTGTAGGTGAACGGTTCAGTTTATGTAAGTTCATCTGGGAAAGGTCATCTGCAGCAGGTGTTTGTGTTCATGCAGCGATCAAATAACAAAAAAGTTTAAGAATAACAGTGTTGTATGATATTTTTAACCCCAGAATAATTTGGTTCTATTTTCAGCTTCTGCGCTAAATTTTTCATCTTCTAAGGGAAGGAAAGTGACTGGGATTGCTTCGTCATCTGTAAACCTCACCTGGACCTTCAGTGGAGAAGTGAAGAGAATTGAATTGGAAAATGCTAGCGGACCGATATGTGTCATAAACAGCGATAAGAATGTCACTGTAGATCCGTATTACACTGGACGTATCAGTGTCTTATGGAACGGCAAGAGCCCTGGGCAGGTCATTTTTACACTTAGTTCAATCCTCACGACTGACGAGGGTGCCTTTCGATGCAAAATTGGCTCCGGTGGTCTCCTATCACCAAGTACATATCAAGTTGTAGAGCTGACTGTCTTGGGTAAGGTTCTGATTATTCATGTTGGCTTATAAGTAGCCAGTTGCGGCTAGTTTTTTCAATCTGAAAGGGTTAACGCTCTGGGTCATACTACATATTGATTACTATTGATTATCTGCAATGATTCGATTTAGTACCCTCATTCCAATTGAGCACCCTCTTTCTAATAAGCTCCCCCCCCTCGAATTTGGTTTTTGTAAATAAGCACCGTATTCCAGTAAGTGTCCCTATTCTGTTTCAGTGATAGCTGTGACAATAGGTTTTTCGGCTTTAACTGACTTCTCGCGGAAAGCGCCGCAACAACGGGCAAAACTAGTTCGATAGAGACAACGTAGCAGCGGAACCGAACGGAAACTCGTCACGATTTCCTGGTACACGGAGATCTACTTCAAGCAAGCTTTTACTGTCACGCAACCGAGAGCGAGGTATTGGTACAACTGCAGTTGATCAAAGCCAAGGGACGACTTCAACCCTCTACGTGAATGCTAAGACGTCACGGCCACGGCAACTATTTCGAATCCAAGGAGTCTCGAATCTGTGCCGCTTTCGGAATGTCCTCGAACTTCCGTCCTTGTGCTCATAGCACATGGTAATCAAAACGTTTGGATCAGATTCAGATCGGCCAAAGCGATGTGACGTTGTGCAATTTTGTGTGAGTAAAGCAGGAGGTGGGCTCAATTTGTACATGAACGCCCAGGCAGTGCCAGACATTTGTTCACCGTTGTCTCATCAGAGGATTTAGTTCCCAGAGACTTCGTATCGTCACCTCTGTAACTTGGATTTGGCAGACAGCTCTAGTGGTGATGCAGAAATACTGATCGACGCCTTGATCGGAAGCGATTTAGATGGCCACTTTATAACTGTTGAAACTCGACTAGGAAGGAATGATGGGCCAGCAGTCATCAAGATGCATTTAGGTTGGGTCTGGTCAGGACCAGTGCGCAAAGTAAAGGAGACAATGACTGATTCCTCCCCCTTCTTGAACAACTCCCATGTGCTAAGGCTGGATACTGAACCAATAGAGGAGAATGGTTAAAGGCTGACAGTTTCTAAAGAAACTGTTTGGGGCTGCGTCGGTGGGGGTAACGAAATAATTTGAATATGTCAACAAAGTTGAAATGGTAAATTGGCCACCGTTACGATTATGAAAGCTGACGTTTCGAGCGTTAGCCCTTCGTCGGAGCGAGGAGAACGATTGTTCAGTGAGGAAGGAGGAACCATCGAAATTTTAGAACATTGGGGCCTAAGGAATAATGCCCTAGAGCGAAGGTGCTGTCTGTCAAGAGTTCTAGGACAAGGTGCACATGAGGACTGCACGATACGAGGGTTTACTTCCTTGAAAGGAATGCATCCGGCCTTAACAGACAATTACAGCTTAAGTTGTACTCGCTTGAGTTCACTGCTCAGACGCCTGAGTAAAAAACCCGATGTGCTGCGAGAGTATGAGAAGGTGATCAAAGATCAAGAATGGAAAGGCATTATAGAAACTGTTAATTCAGAGGCCGCCGCAAAAGTTCATTACTTGCCCCATCGTGAAGTCGTGCGATCAGACAAGCGGACAACCAATCTAAGAATAGTTTCTGATGCCTCTGCCAAGAGGGATGGCTCAGCCCTGAATGACTGCGTGTACATGCTGGACCGCCTTTGTCACCACTGTTGATGGACGTCATAATAAGATTCCGCTGTTTTAAAGTAGCCCTGGTTGGATATATAGAAAGGCCCTCTTGATGGTAGGAGTTGAGGAAAGGGACTGTGATGCACTGCGATTCCCGTGAGTGAAAGACCAGTTTGCTGATCAACCGGAAGTAGAGGTGAAGATGTTCACAAGATAAGTGTTTGGGTTGTCATCCAGCCTTTCCTGCTAAATTTCACCCCGAGATACCACATGAACAAGTATACAGTTATTGAACCCGGATTTGTGAAGAAGTTTCTGGAGGCTTTGTACGTTGATGATCTCTAGACTGGCGACCAAATCGTAGAATGAGCTTATTAGCTGTTTTTTAATCAAAGTTGAGGATGTTGGAAGCCAACTTTAACTGAGAAAGTGTCATGCAATTCAAAGGAACCAACTGAGAAGATAAAGGCTTCCGACTACAATCAAGAGGTGAAATGCAGTCACAAGCTGAAGAAGTTGCACGATGATGGAACCTATACTGGTGCAATCCTGGGAAGCAATCATGAAGTTGACGAAGAAAGGGAACACAAGATACGGGTGATTACCTGGAATCATGACACTGACCAGCTGAGTACTGATCTAAGTCACATTGTCAAATCCTCAGAAGACCTGCTTGTCACAAAATGAACGGTACTGAAAGTGACTGCATGAGTTTATGATCCCCTTGAGTAGATATCACGTACTCTTATCTACGTGAAGCCGTTGTTTCAAAAGATTTGCCAGACTGAATAGGACTAGGATGCTGAGATTAGTCCAGATCTAAAGGAGTGTCATGACCGGTGGGTGACTGAGTTGCTGTAAGAAGGCAACCTTAGAATACCGAGGTGTTAAGTCAAAGTTGATGACTCAGAGCCCATTTCAATACAACTTCATGGCCTCAGTGATGCGTGCTGTAATGCCTATGCAGCAGCTACAGATATAAGAATCAAGCAGCAGGCTGGGTGAGATCAGTACAAGTTGTTCAAAGACCAGAGTAGCACCGTTAACTGAAGAGATGATACCCAGACTAGAAATGTTTGACGCTGTGATTCTTGGAAGATTGATGAAAAATATGGCTGATGCCTTATAAGAAAGCCTGAAGGTCGAACCCCGCCGATCTGCCTTCTAGATCAATGAAGCTTTCGGACCTGGCAACAAGCGACAAATGGTGGAATAAACCCGCATTTCTGACACTCCTGTAAGAGCAATGGCCAACAAAACCAGACTTAGGCTTGCTTGAAGAAAATGTGGGACGTGAGATAAAGGCTGAGTTCAAGAGAGGGGACCACCCAATCAGTACGGATCTTGCAACTGTATCAAACGTTAGCCTGATTGAGTATTTTGGCCTGACTGAGTATTTTGGCCTGACTGAGTATTTTGGCCTGGAACGGATTAGCAGCAGCAAGAAACTGCTTTAAGTTAAGGATATGTGTTGCGGTTCATTTCAAGAGTGAAAGAAGGTTCCCCTTGGTCAGCGCTCTAGAGTTTCGTTGCTGAAGAGTAATTGCCTTTGCAAACCAAGCGCTAATTTTTGACGGCACTATCGAAAGGATCTGCCGTATCGCAAGGCACGACGACTTTACGCTAGGAAGTCATCAGGCAGTTTTACTGCAAGTTGCTCCTTTCGTCTAAGAATACAAAGACAGAGGCAATCGTCGTCAAGCCGGTCAAACGGAAAACGAGTGAGTGAACAGTCACCTGGTTCAGGTTTATCTCAAATATGGATTTACATAGTGAAAAACTACTTTAGGTTAAATGCATCATTGCTACAAGACTGGCAAGCAACTGACATCAGTGTTGTAAACAAATGATAAGTATTGCGTATACATCGATTTTCACACAGCACTTGGATTCACTACCATTATATTCATTAGCATTTGGGTTCCACAAATTATCACGTTGAAGCGCTGTCATCACAATGACATTTCTATTGTTGCTACTTTTAGTTTCTTGAGGGCGGGTGGGAGTGGATGGCTCTTGAGGTGGATTTTCGGAAATCTAGGGTGGGAGAATACGTGGCCCCTTCGAGCCGTGTGTATGCTAGTATCCACGAGTGGATTCGCGTTGTTCAGGCAACAGGATATCGGTCAGCTCAGGAAAGGGCTTGACCTTTATTACAGATGATCTATTACTGTTTTCAAAATACGATGGAAACAATTGATTGGATTTTCATACGATAAGAAAGCACAAATGTAGTCCTGTGGAAAGACAGGGAACATGATACATCTCAAGTGCGTGAGATAAACAACAATAAGAAGCTCACCAATCTTCGCTTGCGAAATGTCAGCCGAAACTGAGAATGTGGAACAAACTTGTCCAGTAGGGGAACAAGCCCCTTTATCAGCATTCTTTTCAGCTGAATTCTTTGGCCATCAACTCCTGATTTGACCAGTGGTATGTCTTCATAACAGCCGTCTTCGCAGTCGAGACGGATCTTAAGGGCGACGACTTTAAAGAGTAAAATCTCCTCGACGTCGACGATCAGAACGCTTCCATTTTGGCTATACAGCTACATCCTTTGGAACGCAGTGTTTAGAAATACCTGGTATACGTGTATTATTCTTGTAGCTAACATAATTTGCCATTCTAGTGACGAAACGCATTCGTCCCTTCTTCCTGATCACTCCTTTCTCCACTATAGTTGCCGACGTGTCTTCACCGTTTTCAATGTCACAGCTTTGTAACATGAACGTTTTGGCCGCGCGCTAAATGTGAACCTCTTTTTGTCCGGCAAATCCTGCTTTCAATGCGCAAAAGAAGGTCAAGGAGAACTCGGTAGGTGCTAAGGTCGATTATTTCAAATTTTAAATACTGCTATCGATCAGAAATCGCAAAAAAAAATTTACGGATTATCAGATGAGGGCACGATTCCTGTTTATTCTGCTATCTTTCACAGTATATTTTCTTTGGTATTGTGCCCTAGTTTTTCCTGTTGGCCTTTAATGTCCGTTGTTGGATTAAGCTTCGCAGAGTTGAAATCTTTTGACTTTTTGAACAACGCCTCTGAGTGCGGATTTAGATTTCTAAACTGATAGCTTCAAAACTTCAACTAAACATTTTCTTACGATGAAAAAATTTGCCTTGGCGAGGAAAGACCTCTGATATGGTTAAGTTGGTCAACACAACTCGTAACTCTTTGTTTTGGAAAAAAATTGAGAGAAATGTTCCCCTCTCTATTAGCCGTTTTCAAGAATCAAACATCGATTTTCCCTTCCCCTTTTAACGGTGTAGATGGAGACGAACAACCAAGCATTTTTAAGTAGAACTCGAAGTTCCTAAGATCAGTCGATTCCCTCATGCAAGGTATTAATGGCGAAATGTCACGCAAACCCCGAACATCAGAGCCTGAGAATGTCTGATATCTGTTGTAGTTCCATTTGTAATAATGTTTTGGCTTCCAAATTTTTGAGATGTGGGTTAAATGTAAGATATAATAAAGATGCAGATTCAGCCATCAACACACTGCTTTGTGTACCCTCATAGGAAGTAGCTCGTGTTGATGATGAGATGTGAATGTCAGGCTTCCCAGCCAAAAACGTACGAGACTTATTTTGGTATTTTGTGCAAACTACCAATGGGATGAGATTTTTTGTTAGACAGTGGTATTTGTTTTGTGTTGTAAGTGTGTTCTGTACAAGAAAATTAATATGCTTCCCGTGTGAATATTAGATTGTTTTTTTGACTTTCCAGAGGCACCGCATATAACCCCGTTCTCGTCAAAACAAAATCACACGGAGGGATCTGCTGTAAATATCAGCTGTAAAGCGTCCGGAAAACCATTGCCTGATGTAGCATGGGTCAGGAATACCAAAGTCAAAAGTTCAGGAAAGGAAGAAGCCTTTCTAGTCTTCAGTAGTATACAACGAAGCGATAAAGGAGAATATAAATGTCGTGCCAATAACACAGTTGATGTCACTTCCATTGACGCGACGATTGTGGTTTATTGTGAGTACATTGTTACCATGATTTACTCTCTTTTTAAAAGTAATAAGTGGTTCGGGTTGCCTTTTTGTTTTTAGTTGTTATTGTTAATGAGAAAAAAAATCTATGTAAGCGTATTGAGTTGTAGGTATCTCGCACCAATCAGGGGTAACAATGAGTTTTTCGGCCACAAACTGAACTCTCATGGAAGGCACAAACTAATAGCCAAGTGGGAAATACTTGTCGCTTTCTCACTTAACGCGAACAAGTAAGCCTCGAGACATAAGGTTGCAAAAACAGGTGAAAACAGGCGATGAAGAAGTAAGTGTAAAAACTGGTTGAAACTACTAAAGGCTAGATATTTAGACAAGCATAAAGAAAGGATAAGGAGGGCAAAACGCTCTTCCGATAAACACGACTTATCATTTGCCCAAGCAAGACAACTGACTAGAATGCGGTTCTGGATGAAAAACTTTTATGATCACGTCCCTAATTGACAAAAGATAACTTCATTATTGCTGTTCAACACCATACAACACGAATCAAACTTACAGCGAATCAATCAATGTCTACTGACAAAGGCGTAGCAGCTGTTACAGTCATGTCGCCTGGAACCTGAGTCATGTCACCCGAAATTTTAGTCATGTGCCTCGAAAAAAAAATTAAGTCGCCCAAAGAAGCACCTACTTGAAAGGTCAGACTTACAGACTGTAAATAGGCAATGAAGTTGAGAAATCTGTATCACTCAATTGCTGTTTGTATCCGACATCACCATGAAGATGATGATCAGAATAGAAATATGTTTTGAAATATGTTTGACTGACATCTTAAAAAGCATTCTTCGTTTCTAAAAACAAACGAAGCGTTGATCGTTTGGAGTGTACTCGTTTGGTACTAACCGAGGTTTTGTAAACTTGAGAAACTTGGTCTTGATTCTAACGATACCATGAAGAATTTGACTACGCAAATCAATCCTATGCTCAGAACTGAAATATGTTTGAGAAACGTCTCTAAAAGCGTTGTTCGTATCTAACAACAAAGGGAGGCATTGTGTTGCAGGCCTTCAGGAGCCGTTTTAGGTAGTATTTGACATGCAGCTTGGGCCAACTAACTCTCTTCTTCCCTCCTTGAGCTCACCATAGAAGAATGCTTCGGGTAATCGAGAGTCGTCCGTACGCACTACATGACCTATCGATCTAAGCTGGTTTTGGGTGAGAAGGGCTTCAACGCTGGGGATTTTGGCTCGCTGTCTCACCTTGACATTCAAGACTCTATCTCTCCAGTGGATTTTCAGCAACTGTCTGAGCTGAGACATCTGCGTGTATTACAGTCTCTAGATGTGGCAGCGGTACGGGATGTAGGTCTCTGATGAGTACAAGAGACATGACAGGACAACGGTGTGGTATACTTTGCACTTGGTTTGCAGTTTAATGCCAGGGCGGTTCCACGCCTTAGTTCGAAGTTTGCCAAAGGCAGCAGAGGTTGCCCTGACTCGCCTCTCCACGTCTTTCTTCAGGCTGTTATCATTGGAGAGTGTACTGCCTGGCTAGGTGAAGTTCTTGACGGAGATTAGGCTGTTGTCGTGAAGGAGGATGTCCGGCTGTGGAGGATGAGTTCCTGGAGCAGGCTGAAAGATGACTTCTGTCTTGGTGACATCGATAGCCAGACAAAGGTTGTAGGCTGCAGTGTTGAAAGAGTTGAGTATGCTCTGGAGCCCCTCTGGAGAATGAGATACCATAGAAGCATCGTCTGCTATGAGCAGTTCTCTTGCACGTGTTTTAGTGCTAGCTTTCAAGCAGCTTGTATTGAAGAGCTGGCCGTCTGAGCAGGTGGTGAGGGTACAACTCTTCTGTTGAGGCAGAGAGTTCCAAGACTACTGTGATGTACAGAGAAAATAGAGATGGTGCAAGTGCACACCCCTGCCTTACGCCTTGGTTGACGCTGAACCTGTCAGATGTCGAGCCTCCGAGAGAGAGAGACTTGGGCCATCGTGCCGGTTTGCAGTTGATCAATAAAGCTTGTGATCCCAGGAGGGCATCCATATTTCCTAGGCAAAGACCAGAGGCATTGCCTGTTGGCTGTGTCGAACACCTTCGTGAAATCAATGAATATGATGTACATGGGCCTGTTTCGCTCAGCTGATTTCTCCTGTAGCTGGTGAAGGGTGAAGATCATGTCAGCTGTTGATCTTGACCTCAGGATTCCACACTGTGATTCTGGGAAAGCTGCATCCAGGACAGGTTTCATTTGGCGTAGGAAGACTTCACCGAGTACTTTTCCAGCAATGCACAGTGGTGAGATGCCTTGATAGTTGCCGCAGACTTGAATGTTCCCTTTCTTCTTGTAGATTAGGATGACGCTGGCATCCTTGAAATCCTGAGCTCAATCTTCCTCTCCTCCCATATGTTGGTTAGCACGTCAAACAGAGCACCGAGGATTCTATCTCCACCTTTTTGTTAGATCTCTGCCAGAATCTCGTCTGTCCCAGGGGCTTTATTGCTTGCTAGGGACTCCTCTGCAACTTTTACTTCAAGAGTGAGAGGTTTGTCTGCACTTGACTGGATGGGATGCTCGGGGATTCTTTCAAGAGCCGAGGGATCTGCATTAGATCTTTGGTTTAGCAGCCCCTCAAAGTGTTCTTTCCAGCGTTGCAAGATCTCATTCCCTTCAGTGAGTACTGTGGTGCCATCGGCAGAAAGGATCGCGTTTGAGTGAGATCTTTGCAGTCTGTCGATGTTTTATATAGCTCGGTAGAACCCTCTTGTATCACCTTAGTCAGCCAGGGATTTAATTTCTTCTGCTTTGTTGTCCCGCCATGTGTTTTCCATTAGTCGGAGTTCCCTTTGTAGCATGGCCTTGCTGTGGGTAAAGTTTTCTTTAGCTCTGGGAGTCCGGTTTAGCCATGTAGGTCTGATATGCCTTCGTCTTCTGCTGAATAAGTTTGTTGATGGCACCATCCTTGTCATTGAACCAGTCAGGATTCCTCCGATTTGGGTGGCCAAGTTTCTCTTTCGCCTGGGCATAGAGGCAAGACTTGAAGTTGGTCCACCTCTTTTCTATAGTGGTGTTATCACCTGTATTGTAGTTGTCGCGGAATCCAGATGACGGCGATGATCTTGTCGCTGCATCCTTGAGTTTGCTAATGTCGAGCTTTTTCATCGGTTTGGGGACTGTTTTCCTCCTTGGAAAGTGAATTGCAGTTTTCAACTTGCATCTGATCATGTAGTGATCTGTACCAATTTCTGGGCCCCGCATTGCTGTAGTAATCGACAGGTTACTGGCAGGCCTCTCTGTAGGTATGTTTCCGTCCACTGGTAAGGTTTATGAGTGCACAGCATTTTATTTTATTTTATTATAGCTTTTATTTGTTTCGAAACATTTTGAAATGAATAGAAATCATTTTCATTATATTTTATGATGAGAGTAAAGTGAATCAAATTGTGTACACTGTACATGCGAAAATCAAATGAAATCTGTACGAAATGTACCAGCCTCTAGCTTTCGAGATTCCTTTCTATTTCTACAAAGTACCACAGAAATAGCTGATATTGGTTTTTTTGTATTGTCACTGTTCAACTACTGTTACGTCTTACTGAATGCGGTGCGATTTGTGCACAATTTAAACTTGGTTGTTGTTGAAGCGACGTATTGTTTCTGACAAACTTTAAGTGATATTCCATGTATAGCATTACTACTATGACTTTCTAGATCGTAATTAAATTAAAGACTTTTTTAGGTTCTTTTGGAAGTAAATCAGTCGCTCAGTTTCTGAAATTTACACACTTGGCATCGCCTGTCACCAAATTTCTTTGTTCCTCCTGCGTTCCGTTCGGTTCGTAGCAACCCCAGATTCACGCCATCTAGGTTGTCGTTTAGCGCATTTTGGTCCCCTTAAAAGCCCCCGGACGGAAGACCGAGATGGTAGGGAACTCTGACGTTGTTATCCCTGCACGGTATACTGGTTTCAGATTGAACTGGTTTACAATCTTGCTCGTCGGTTTAATTCAGAATGAACTCTAGTTTGTATCTTCTTGCTATCTTTTCTCGCAGCACAAACTCATTTAAGCCTCCGAGCCAGAGCCTATGTTATGTTGCCCTGCACGCGGGAGTGACCCGATTCTCGTAACAGATATTGCTGCTTATCCTCAGGCCTAACGTATAAATTTGTCACTATTTTCCCTCCTCATTGTTTCTTATCTCTATATCCAATTAAGTGATACGTTCCTTTGACAAGTATGGCGTAACCGTAAACTTTTCATGGGCTTCATCTAGATAATTTAAGAATGTTCTCAATTAATCTTCGCTCTCAGTATGCACCGTAGAAATCTCGATATTGTACTTGTTTCTACAATTAGCATTTCATTTCTTTTATCCGATCAGTTCATCTTTGCTAAATTATCATGCCTCATTCACACTCTCAAAACGATATATATTTGTAGCAAAGAGAAATTTGCGTATCGATAATCTAGGTTTGATTTTAGAGATTCATTTATTTATATCATTTGGTTGATATTATTAGATAAACCTAAAGGTGTAACTCTAACTACAAATGCTCCACAAAATACCGTTACACAAGGAGACACAGTGAAATTTACGTGCAAAGTAAAGGAAGCAAAGCCACAAGTCTCACTATACAAGTTCTTTTTCAATGGCCGCCCTGTTAATGTGAGTAATAACAATGTATACACCATCAATAATGTCAAGCGATCTCAGAACTATGGCGAGTACAAATGTATACCTCGGAATGATGCTGGAGATGGACCCGAGGCGAAAGCGACACTTAACATACAGGGTGAGTAGCACCGTTTTTATCAGTTATTTGTACTTGCATATTATAATACAAAATGAGGAAAACAGTTCTGCTCGTTTAAATTCTGCTTAGGTAAAATTTTCATTCTATACTCGTTCCTTCTTACCTAGGTGCCCGAAAGGGCCAAATTTTGAGGACCCTTCCTCGCTTCAATCCTCTTTTTATGGCAAGGGTGTCTGTTAGGTTTGAAATTTTACAAGGTCGTACAACTACTTGCATGGCAGAATACTTAGCATTTACGATGGGTTGGCGATTAATCTCATCCTTGAAGAAAAGTGAGGGATTTCGTCAATTCTCCAACTGTTTATTGTCAGGGAAAGTAAGGAAACTTTGACCATCTCTGTCTTGTAACTCTGAGATACAGATGTATATGAAAGATTGCTCCAGTTTTAAAGCCGGTACTTACACATTTAATATCTAACCGCTATCAGATACACGCGTTTGGGCGGAATTTCAAGTAAAAGGTTTTGAAGCCGTTTTTCTCACCTTTATCTAAATCTCTAGAGAGGCAAGGGTTTTTGAAGCCCTTATAAAAGCTCGCAGCACATGTTTTATCAGCTCAAAAAACATTCGGCCCCGCCTCGTTTTAAACCCGACAAAACACTGCTGCTCGTTTTTTAAGGATTACTTGAAGGTTCATTAAAGCAAATTGCATTATGATGTTATGAAGTGCAAATTGTAGTCCTTTAGTGGACGTTCGTTAAGCAGAATGCCTAGGAAAGAAACTAAATCAATGTACATGTTTATCTTTTTGTTCACAGTTCCTGCCCATTTTACAGTACTACCGCAGAATATAACAGTTAATACGTCAACCCCTATATCTTTGACTTGTAAAGCCTCGGGTTTTCCTACACCTCATACCAGGTGGGAAAAATCAGAGAAGATTTTGTCCCATATGGAACACCTGAACATTCCCAGCAGTAACAGGAGTGCTGCAGGAGAGTATATGTGCACTGTGGGAAATGGAGTCGGAGAGGAAAAGACAGCGAGAGCTTATGTAATTGTGCAATGTGAGTCTGTAATCCAATGTCATTGGGTAACTGCCGATGCTGTTGCTGCATTCATGATCTACATTATTGACTTCACTACCCTGACCGCGGTTATAGTTCCATGATACTCCTTCCCCACGATCGTCGTATATCTTCCATGAAGGCACTTCCGGTGTTTCTGTACAGGCGCTGATTATCGGGCTCCGATAATCTAAAAAAAAAGCGTGGCATTAAGATCACTTGCATAAAATGAATATAAACATGTTTTAAATGCTTTTAAACTAACAAGTTACATTTTTGAAATCTGACTTTGCTTTGTAAAACACAACGAACAAAGTCTAACGATAATTTTTCTAACCTATTAGTTATCAGTGTAATGTTATCATCAGCCTGCTTCTATGAAAGTATACATATTGTTGATAGCCTGGTGAAGATGTTGTCGAAGAGAGTCGTTCTTGCAGTATGATATTCCCGCTGAAAATACCTCAACGACTCTTTCAGTTCAACTCCTACGATTACAGTGACGCGACGGTTCATTATACGAGGTCCTCCAAATCATGTATTCAATATTTCCAATATCCGTATAGCCTACAGAAAATCAGCCTACGAAATTAATGTCGAACTAATGCCAAAATAAAGTGTCAGTCGAGTAACTGGACTGACTGGACGCAGACAAGCGATCAGAAATGGGGACGTCAAAAGTCACACTTCTGAACGTAGTCCACTTACAAACCGAACCACCGACTGGGACTGAAGCTTTTGTGGAAGGTTCTTTTCGACCGATGTCAGCCTCTGAACAAACACTTTTTCGCGACATAGGGGTCATTAACCAACAAATCTAACAAGATGGCTTATTTTGAACCTCAATGCTAATGCAGCATTGCAGAGCCGATCAGTCTAAAACAAAAGCATTTCTTTGTTCCTAGTGCTGCACCAAAACAAAAACAGTGCGAGTCGGGTAACACTTCGAGGCAAGGCTCTAAATTTTGTTATCATATGGACCTAGAATTTCGAGAAGCTAGCGAAAATGCAAATGTGTGTTTCGTCGCTCTTTGGAGCCGGTGCACAATATCATCGAAGTGGCAAATTATATTTTCAAGTTACAGCAGAAACAAATAGTATGTAATTCTTTCCATCGATTTCGTAATTTCTCTCAAAATAGACATTGGTTTAGCTTTTACGGCGAGAACAACCGAAAAGTAGTTGACAAAGCTTGGCGTATCAGTCAAGTTAGGATACCGAAAAATTCAGTTTCGTTGCGCGAGTTTCTGCGATCAGCAAATTTATTTAAAGATGTAATTACGCCGTATTAAGCCTCTTGGTTCATGATATGTAGCAGGCAACAGAGAGAAGGAAGACAATCAATTGAAATGGGTCAGCGCTGCGTACGTGCGTCTAAATGTAGTAATTAACAATTATTCCATGAGCGCGCGTTGGATATGAGATGATAGATAGCCAACGAGGCGCGTAGCGCCGAGTTGGCCATAATCATCTCATATCCAACAAGCGCGAGTGGAATAATTGTTTTTAAAAACGTTCATTTAAATTATTAAATTTTATTAAATTTTTAGCTCCCTTTTAATCTTAAGCTGAAACGTACGCTTGCCATATTTGTAGAATATGGTATATTGGCTGATAGACCATAATGGCTAAGCCAATAAAAAGTCTTGAATTACATTATCCAATGATCTAGTTTTTAATAAATAACAATTATTCCACGAGCGCGCGTTGGATATGAGATGATGATAGCCAACAAGGCGCGTAGCGCCAAGTTGGCT